AGGCACAGCGGGTGAGCCCTTTTTTTTTTTTTTTTTTCCATCAAAACACTTCTGTTTTCTTGCTGTGAGAAAGTAAAGAGGGTTTAGATAATAGAGTGTTAATACAGTTTCAGTGCAGGGCAACAAAAAAAAAAAAAAAAAAAAGGAGGAGTAAGGATGGAGGAGGGAAAAGCTGCCTCAAAGTGAGAGAACGGCAGGACAAACAGATGACATATACGTTAAAATGTCTACCAAAAAAAGAAAATGGCAGAATGAGGAATGATGAGTCAGCTGTGGAACTCATTACAGCTCCACCAGTCATTTCTCTGCTTCCCAATCTAAATGAGCTGCCCTCATAAAGAAGCAGTCTGTCATCACATGCAGGAATAATAATAATGAAGCATACCAGACACATTGTAAAGTCAAACATTATGTTCATATTAAGTCTGGTCAGTGACTTGCTGTGTACACACATCTGAACAAGCCGAACAATATTTGATTTGCAGGTAAATTTATTAATTATATTACTTAAATTACTCTATAAAAGGTAAGAAAATAGAGAAAAACGCCATTTCCAGAGAACAAGCTGACATCTTGAAATTGCTCATTTTGTCCGACCTACAATCAAGAATGATTTAAAACAGTAATTGCAGCAATTTCTCAGAGTACAGGAGCTAAAGTAAGCGAAGGTTTGTCCCTTTCGCTTGATAAATGACTTAAAAGATTTACCAATTTGCTGTTTTTGATATTGTTGTCCAAACAGTTAATGCCTATCAGTTGACTAATTGATTAACCAACTAATCAATTCAGCAATAATTAGTAATAAAACTAATGGTACAGAAAGGAGGTGTACCATTAAACCATTGAAGAAGAAGAAGCTGGGCACCACAAAATGAAATGTACCACTTCTGTTTGAATTTGAGGAACGTCTCATCGTGTCACACAAACCTTACGCTTTTATCTGTCACTGTTTTTACTAGTTTCACTTCATGTGCTCAGCCTTTTTCCATTGCACCTTGATGCGTTTTGTTTTTATTGACACACTAAATTCTCCACGTCAGCCAAGTGAAAACTTTTTTGCGACATTTCAAGCACGTTTCAGAAATGTTTTAATGTGAAAATTGAACAATGAAGTCTGTGTCAAAAGGTTTAAATAACAACAAATTTATAATGTCTCATTGACATTAACTGACACAATAATGTATAAAAAAAAGAAAGAAAATGGAACAGATAGATGGGAACATGCTTACTGGTGGGTAGAGTACTTTATTAATCCCAAAGGAAAACACAAAACCAAAGAGGAAGAAAAACAAGACAAGACAATAAAAGAATCGGAAAATAGGGCCAGTTGGACCATAATCTTAGTAAATTGTTTTTATGTTATTACCGGTGTAAATGATATCATGGGAAATATATTGGTTTCCTTTAGCATTTTGGGTTCTGTTTTGAATTCATCTGTTGGCAGATGAACCGAGACAGATATAAACTTTGACTCCCGTCGTCTGTTTTCTGAGTCATCATGACGACCGTGGGCTGCAGACAAATGACACCTCCCCTGCGTGTCTGGTTTACGGCCACGCTGCAGTCAAATATGACATGGATTTACTGTAACAGGAGATTAGGGCTTAACCAATATACTGTATGCTCACTGGAAAGCTTTTGTTGAATAAGCACACCAGACCAGTGAATGGCATTTGGCCAGTAATGGCTAATATGTGTGACCAGATGTTGTATCCCTGTGGAACACTGAGACAGACGCTGAACAGAACACTCACAATACACAAGACCTGACTCTGACTTGTTACCATTAATCTTTTGATCAACATAAATCTTCATCTGCTTGTATGTGCTCCATATGCATCACCATAATGTATACTGAATACTTCAAGTTGCCTATTCCATGTAAGAGCTATATTAATTGTATTATTATGAGACCAAACAATGAATTCCAGATGAAAAAATATCACATATTAAATAATAATCAATAAAGTCAGCACACATTTCACTCGTAGTAAGTAGTAGTAGTGGTAGCTGTAATATTAATATGACAATGGCAGCAGTAGTAGCGGCAGTAATATAAGTAATGATGTTCATTTTCATCTTAGGTGTAGTTTCGATTCAGTTTGATTATTGTAATTAAAACTGTTTCATTTCAGTTACTGCAGAAGCCAAAGTGATTCAGTTAGATTCTTTCTTTCAGTGTTGATGTAATAATTGAATTTTTACTCCCTCTCTTTGCACTCCCTGAGGTTTCTTCCATTTTTTTTCCAACATTAACTTTATTTATTATATGTAATATTTATTTATTTATTTGTTTTTTATGTTTTTTTTATGTTTTTTTTTAGTTTTTTCGTATCAAAGGACAGAGAGCGTCCGTATGTCATACAGATTGTGAAGTCCCCTGAGGCGAGTTTATGATATGGGGCTGTGTAAATAAAACTAAGACTTTATTTGACTTGACATTTTAAAATTGTTTTTTTCACAGTTATCTTGTAACTATGAACTTTGTACCTTTCACACTAAATCTGTGAGATGGGTCAAAAGTGTGACTGATCAATAAAGTAAACGCATTGTCGCACGTCCACCCACCTAGCCTCAGGAAACCTTGAAGAAATCATTTTGGAGAACAGAAGAATTGAAAGTGGGACTGAGCCACGATAAATACTCTTCACAGCACATGATTATAATGACTGCCAGTGCAAGAAATATGAGTGTACAGTGAAGGATGTGTGGCAAAACTGCTTTTTACTCATTATTTTATTTCTTAACTTTTTTAAGTCCTTGGGCAACCAAACCATTATGAAAATATACTTAGTTTAAGCCCTATGCCCTTCTGTTTTCAGACAACTGGCACAACTACTAAAGACTGATTTGATCTAGGATCTCAAAAGGCCGACAGGCCAGTCAGGTGTATTTAAGTTCAAAGAGTTTATAGTTAGTTATAGTTTATATAGTTAATGTAATACAGCAGATGAATGGAGACTGTCCTCCCCAGACAAATTGGAGTGTCAGCCCCAGTCATTACGACTCTTGTTCCTAAATAGCAAAAGAATGAAGTAGTGTTTCGGTGTCATAAGAAAAACGTTGGACTTGAGCAATAGTAGACCACTGCTTGTTTCCCTTCTTGTTTCATAAATTTCCCCTAGGGTATAAATAAAGTATTCTATCTATCTATCTATCTATCTATCTATCTATCTATCTATCTATCTATCTATCTATCTATCTATCTATCTATCTATCTATCTATCTATCTATCTATCTATCTATCTATCACCGAGTGATTATTCTTGTAACCATGACGACCAAGATCCCCTAAACCTAGTGATTTATGATCATGAAAAGGTTTTATTTCTGAAGCCACCGTGTCGTCCCGTCAGAGTGGGGCATCAGTTGTATGTGTTGTTGTGGAGGACCATGGACCAACAACCTATTTCCTCTTGATTTGGATGAGTCATTTGATGAGTGTGGTGTCAAGCTCCCAAACACTATACTAACGTGTTAAATAGAATGAAGAATGTACTGCTGATTGTAATGGAAATCTCATTAAGTCCAACCATTAGTTTAAAATACAACTGCCGGTCAAAGGGAAATTTAAACGTACTGCTGCAAAGGTTCGGGGTGCAGGTACAACTTTTTTTTTCTGTTTTTGGGGGCTCTCTGAGTAAGTATTTTGAGAGTTTATTTAAAGAGAGCAGCTCTTCAAACACCTCAGAGACTGTTTTGAACATTGTGTAAAGTTTTATGAGCCTTCAGACACCAGCCAGGACACATTTAAAATTATCCAGGGCCCTTTTACAGAGAAGTATAAATCTGGGAGATTTCTGACCACAGCAGAAGATGATGTTTTGTTTCTCTGGACCCCAAAAGTTACTCATTCTGATTCATACCCTGACGTGTTTTAGTGCTATATGAGCCCTTGTTTCTGCACAGTATCCCCTCAGACAGGAAGCTCAGTGTGTGTGCGTCTGTGTTTTGAGGGATTTTTATGTTACTTTAATTGACACAGTAGAGCACCTGAGGAAGAGGATTATAGCCACATGAAAAAAAATAGTTGAAGGGCTGAGATTAATTTGAAGTCTGAGACCTCACAATTCTGAGAAACACAATCTCACTTGTTTTTTCTGAATTTCGTATCTGCAAATTCTCACTTTTATTTTCAGGAATATGACTTTTCCACATGAGTGCAATGTTTTCTGGAAAGAGCGACTTTTCTCCCCCCTGAAGTCAGAAATCAAACTGTTTTCTCAGAATTGACATTTCTTCAAAACTGTGACCTTTTTTTCCGATGATTTGACTTTTTATTTCAGATTTCAGCAGAAGTTGGTCTTCTCACAGATTTCTCGATTGAATACCAGAATTTTTTTTTCTCAATTTAAGTTTTAATTTTCATCATGAGGCATTAACGGTGCTCCATAACAGATCCAATTCTGATGGATCATTTTTTACTGTAAGACACATACATGTGTTAATGTAAATCATCTTAGGGGTATATTAACCCCATGTCATGGTGAGCTCAGGTTAGCTAACACTGGTTCCTGTGGAGGAAGGGCAGAATAGGCCAGTCCTTTTTAGGTGGAGCACATTATAAGCATAGCCAAGCAGCATCTGCAGAAATGTGCTGCAGCAAAACACTCATCATTGCAGCAGCACCAACTTTAGGCTTTTGCCACACGATACACACGATGCGCTCGAACACTTGAAGGGTTTCCCTGATCACACATCATCATGCGCGTTTGGATTTCAACGTTAATTTGAACAGTCTGATTGTAAAAATGATGAGCGACTCCCTCCAGACTGCGCACTGCTGTGGCGCACCCTTTCCTGCACCCTTGGCTTTTGGCTGAGATTCAAAGCTGGGGAGTTGACAGAAGGTAATCCCCACCATGTGAGGCCTCGGCCCCGGTTTGGAGGCGGGGTGTGATTCATTCAAATCTGCCGGTGCTATAAAAAGAAGGGAAGTTGCAAGTAACCCAACTTCAACCCACAAGACCGTGGCACAGCGCAAGACCATTCGGGTTGTTATTCTAGTGATAATGAATACCATTAAAGCCATTAAAAATGCAATAGTCTGTCTCGTCCTGCTGCCTCGTTTTCTGATGGCAGCAGTCATGTTTTGGCTGCTTGACTTCATTTGCATCAGGAAAAAGGTGTTCTTCAGGATGAAGGAGCAGGAGGGCGATGCCATCGATCCTCCTCTCTGCATATCGGACTCCAATCGCCTCTTCAGCCTGGAGTCGCTCAAAGCAGTGTGGCACGGTCACAAACTGGACTTTCTGAAAGCGGCGCACCTCGGACACGGAGCGCCCAACACCGAAGTTGTTCAGCTGGAGGATCAGCGGCGCAGCCGGATCCTCGATTACGCAAAGGACAAGAGACCGCTCATCCTCAACTTTGGCAGCTGCACCTGACCACCGTTCATGGCGCGCCTCAAGGCTTTCCAGGGAGTTGTGCAGCAAAACGCGGACATAGCAGACTCTGTAGTTGTGTACATAGAGGAAGCGCACCCCTCCGACGGCTGGATGAGCACTGACGCGCCCTATCAGATCCCCAAGCACCGGTGTCTGGAGGACAGGCTGAACGCTGCGCAGCTGATGCACCTGGAGGTGCCCGGATGCCTGGTAGTCGTCGACAGCATGGAAAACTCCTCCAACGCTGCGTACGGAGCTTATTTCGACAGACTTTATATACTGCAGGAGGGAAAGATAGTTTACCAGGGTGGCAGAGGACCTGAAGGGTATCGGATCTCAGAGCTCAGAGAGTGGCTGGATCAATACAGAAGAAGGCTGGAGAAATCCGATAATCTAGTTATTCATGTGTAGATTAATTTTCATCTTTCTAGAGCTGCTGTGACTAAAAACAAAAACAAACAATGCTGCACATTTTTTTCAGTATTATAACTCCAGTTAGACAGATTCTCTCCCTCTTTAATGGTTAAGTGTATTTATTTTTCATATGGTTGGATCAAAGTAATTTGTCCAACATTGTAGGATGTACTACAGTAGGCTCCTTCATTTCATATTGGACATTAGCCTGCATCCTGTTAGGATCCACTCACAAAAAAGAGGTTAGTTTGTTTGGACCTTGATTGTTTGTGAACAAAAGTATTTTGTGTGTCAAAAGTTCTGTTTTTATCTCTTCTCCTTGTGTAAACGCGCCTTTCCTGAATCCGCCAGGATGCTGAGAAATGCGCATCACTGTGCTCCTCAGTGTTGTTGTGAAGTTCGGTTTTTAAACGGGATGAATCCAGAGAACCGACACTGATGTTTTTAACACTGGAGATCACAGTGAAGGTGCTGCTCTCTGCCCTGCATGGCGCAGCTGTTTTGTAAATATTGCTCCGTTTTATGGATATATTTTTCATACAATAAAATGCTTTGATCTACTTGGTCTTTTTTATTGTAAGCAAAATACTTTTATCGCTGTGTGCATGTTTTTGGTGTGTTCTCTTCTCTTTTTTTTTGCAATAACGTCATGCTGCGTATAGATTTTAAACATTTGCTTTCTTGTACCAAGAGGACAAAAAGGATGAATGTTCAATTTCCTGCACAGTAAAGCACAACAGACCTGGACCCTGGATTCCTCTAGAAATATCCTTTTTTTTTTTTTCAAGTGCAGTCTTTAAAACCGATGTGGAGAAGCAGAAAATATGAAATAACTTCAAAAATGCTGAAGATCTCACAAAATCTCCAAACACAAAAAACTCTTGCAAAACTTCAAGTATTGCATAATTTATGATTATTCTTGGTTTTTTCCCCAATTCAAAACTAATTTATTCTCACAGTGAAGAGCATTTTTTCAACAGTATTGTCTCATTTTGTTAGAGCCTCTTAATTTGACAGAATTTTTCTCTACTTAAGTTTTTTTTTTTTTTTCCTTAGTCAACAGTCATTTTCACACAGAGAATGTTCAGCCTTCTCTCACATCAAATACTTCCTGCCAACAGGTTTGGTCTCTGCAATCTGGATGTAACATCTTGTGTCTAATTAGTGGTCAGTCACCTTTAAAGCTGTGTAGATGGTGATTACAGGTCTTTGCTTAATGCTGCAGTGAACAAGCCGTGCTTCTCTCTCCGCAGCCCCTTCCTAAGCTTTTGACCTCTCACAATTAAATGAGGATAATCACACTTGATCCTATTATGCTGAGTGATATATCCACCTATAAGGGTCTAAACACACAAATGTTTTCAGGGCTTAGCACACCGGTCACAGAGCGGTAACAGCGTTAAGAGTGGAGGCATTTAACTGAATTGTCCTGGAAACTAACGCAATTAACATACTGACATATCTGTAACTCTCTGAAGTGATTTAATGCTGAATTATCACTCCCATGAGACTTCAGCATGTCTGAAAACGTGCAATCAACAAGAAAATCCACAAAAATAAAAAATAAAACGTTTTTTTTCGAATAAAACTGGAGGAAAATCCCTTCAGAGGCTTCAGACAGGAGTCACGACGCAGTGAACACACAACAGGGGGCAATGCCTCAGACACAGCCGACCCAGCAAACCATATAATAACTCTGACACAACCTGTGTGTGGTGCAACATCTTGTCAGATGCTCTGGTTCCCCGTGCCTCCTGCGTCCACAGAGCCATTATTCATTGTCAACTTTGGAGAACAGAGCCGTTACCTCCAACAGGGAGGCAAAGTCATAAATGGGACCGAAATGACAGGGTTCAAGACTCTGACATATAATGACAACACAAGGATGCTCATTGTTGGTAAAGTGGCTGATTTTTTTTTTTTTTTTAAACAGAAAACACTGCTTATGAACTACAGCTTTGAGACAAATTTGAGTCAGGTCGTCTTCTATAAATATCACTTGATGTTTGAAATTATTGGTTGTAATGAAGTTGAGTGAAATGAGAGAAAGCTTTTGTTGAGGGTCAGGGAAACAGGATTTGTGTTCTTCTTCATATCTCAGATGAAAAGAGGAAAAAAGATCACATCCTTCCTGCTCATCAGGACTCTGTTCGTGTGGTGGCAGGGGTTAAAATCTCAGCTTCTGCTGCTAATTCAGGTACGCACTCCACATTAGTCCTTGACATCATAACATTATAAGTCCATATGCAGGTAGAATAATGTTGTTGAATAGCAGAACAATATAAAGCCATGACTTTAGCACGTCGTTAATCGATTAGTCAGTCTACAAAACACCAGACATTCACCGTTTCCACCTTCTCAAACGTAATGGATTTACAGCTATAGTCTTTTTGGTATGTCTTTATACATTTTATCTGTTTTGATATTGGACCGTTAGTCAGACAAAACCAGCAATTTGAGGACATCTCCTTGGGATCTGGGAAACTGAGATGGGCATTTTGCATTATAATCTGATTATTTCTATTACAATAGTAATAACCTAAAAGATTATCAGTAAATTGATAGTTAGTTGCAGCCCTGTGCGAGACAGTTAAATACAGGAAAGCAGAACTTCCATTCACTTTTTTCAGTCATCTGTCAAATCTTTACTCTTTTTTCCTGTAGATTTGTAGATAATTTGACCTCCTCTGGGCTCTAACATTATTCACATAAAACAGGGAAAAGTTCACCTTGCTTGACCTGATCATAAACAATAGATTTCCAGTATGCAACTGGCCATGAGCTGACATTGCTTTCAGAAAAGAGAACAAGTCCAGCAAGAGAAAATGTGACTGGTGTGACTGCAGGGGTTTTACAGTGACCTTACTTTACAGCTCATCTGGAACTCATTTAACACACAAATGCATACGTATTTATATGGAGCTGTCAGCTGACAGAGGGGTATCTGCCTAAATGAAATATAACTTGCAGTGTATCCAGTGTGCACCCCTGAAAAGAAACCCCAACTGGAATTGTTTGAATCTGGATTCTTTCCATGTGCGATTTTCCATGGATGTCTGTCAGCGGAGAGGCAGACGGGAACAAAGGGTTAAGGGTCTCAGGCTTGGGGGAGAGATTTAACTTTTGCTGTTCTGTTTTGTTTTATGACTTGGAGGGAGCAGAATGGGCCTGCTGAGGTGGAGTTTTTTTTTTTTTCAGCTTCTCTGGTCAGCTTTGAAGGTGAGGGCCCCTCTCTCCCCAGGGTCAAAACTCCACGAATGAATGTCTGGTGGTGGGGAGCCGGGGGCCTTCAGCACACAAAAAAGGTTTTCAGTGAAACCTGTGTGATTCAGGTTCAGCATGTTAACATTTAACCATGCTCCAAACAATCTTCTTTATACTGGTACAAATAAACTCCTGAGCCTCAGGAGACACGTTTCATGGCCACTTTTAACACTGTGGAGCACAAACACTATTACAGAACTGAAGGTGTTCTTATGAAAGTTTATTCGGAAACCTTTATTGGAGTCACAAGTATTGACTGAATTAGCTGTGGTATAGGAGTCATTTAGGGTCAAGTTGCAGCATCAAGAAAAGACAGTAGTCCATACGCACGCCATGCTGATTAAATAACCAGTGTGCAGTCTAACCTTTTAACTCCTTTTACTTATATAAGTGCTGCCAGTCATGCAGATCTGCGGGACTGTCAGAGATTTTTAAAGCTAGTCTTTGTAGGTCATGGACACGCAGTAACACAGCAGGAGTCCCTGAGACATTTTCCAATAATGTTCAGTCTAGAGTGAGAAGAGGTTGGATGTAGGGGGGGAAAAAAAAAAAAAAAAAAAAAAAAAAGCCCTGAATGTCACCCAATTGGTGAGCTGAAATAGCACAGCAACAAAGTGGAAAATGATCTGTTATGTGGGACGGGCTGCACCTTGACTCCTGTGGTGGTTTGCATTGCTGGTTCAGAAGCAGAGTGGTGAAATAGGAACTGGGAAACATTACTGTTTCGTTTTCACATTGTTCTCATGCATCATAATCAATGTTTAAAAAACATGATGTCGGGAGAAAAAATGATACTAAATGGAGAGATAAAATTCAGCAGTCTTGAAAACCAGAGTTCTGTTCAGGCATGTGTGTGCTAATTCCAAGTATGTGAAAACATTAAATTACTTCCAATCAACTCATGAAAACTAAATGCAGTGTTTTCAGAGCGATGGTGCTCAGCTGCTGGCTACAGCCCTTCCTCCGTCCTCTTTTGGATGGATGACACCTTGTGGTCACAGTCTGACACTACATGATTATTCTAAGCGCTGCATGAGCCCTTAAAACTGAGATCTGCTGCTGCACTGCTCTGTAGTTTGGAAAGCCTTGACAGGAGAGCGTCAGGAAAGCAAAACTGCTGAGTCGTACCTGCAAACTAAAAATATGCAGTTTATACCTACCTGTCTGGTCACTGGAAAGGTTTCACATTTAATTTAATTTGATATTGCTGTCCAAGCAGGAGTCTTAGTTAAAGCAAACATCATCTTTTTGATATTCTAACATATGATCAATGACCAGAACTTAAACTTAGAGGACTGGATTCTTTAGTCAAGTTGAAATTCGCTTATTCTTTAAAGTGGTTTGCACAAAGACAAAATTGCATCAAAGGCAGTCTGGGACATTTCTGTCCCAAAATGGCAGCCAGAGGAAACGGTTTTAAATATTTATGTTTGAAAGCCCCTGCGTTCCCATAGCCCACCCACACAGACGTTATGTTGACGTCACTTATGTTGCCTAATGAGGCCTCTTCTCAGGATAGTGTGGGTGCACATGATTGACTTCTCCCTCTCCCTTCTCTTGGTTCTTGTTGTACTTGTTAGAGCGGGACAACTTAAGGGTGCAGTCACATTACAGTTCCATTCAACAGAGATTTCCCTGCATGTAATGATGTCACATTTTCTGATGCAGGTAAAAAAAAAAAATGAATGGATTAGAGTGATCTCAAACAAGTTTGTAGTCTCGTAGTGTGATAACATAGTAAAAATGGTGATTTCCTGAATGCGAGCTCAGTCCCACTCCCTCTCTCACACTGGCTGGATGTTGGAGAACTGTATAATTTGATATGTTTTAAAAGTCAATCAAACTGAACTCTGGGTGAAGTGATTCAGGCGGAAGGAAAAACGTTTCACCCTGTTCCTTGTGGAAATGAATGGGGAAGAGAAACCGTGTGTGACTGCACCTTTATCCTTCTCATTAGGACACAGTTTTGTTCACTCCACCTGGCAAAACACCTGTGGAAGTGAACAGAGCCTTGAATCCTCATCTTTCATAACGTGATGTCAGTAAACTTACTGCCGAGTGTCAGGATTTGAGAAGTCACATACATAGAGGAAACCAGTGTGAGCTTCATGCTCTTCATACACCATGCATGCTTGGGGTTTTTCAAGCTGGGATGCTTCATCTGCTCGGATACTAAAGATAAAAGAGCCAATGGGGATCATTTCATATTCCCCTTGTGAATTTTTGATTCATAACAAGCGAGCAACACCAGACTTTTATTGTATCAGACAGGATGAAACTGCAGGTTGGCTCTCAGGGAAACATGTAGCCCCCCCCACTTTACTGTATTTCTACATAGTGATCTCGCTTGATGCAGAGTACTGCAGCTGAAGTCCTGGTGATGTAGATAACCGGCACCACAAGGTGGAGACAGAGACTGTTATCTGACACTGTCTCACCTTTCGGAACAGTGGAGGAGTGCTGATAGAGTCACTGTTATCATCCAGGTGATTATCAGTGAGTTGGCCCTGGAAGGAGGGGTGGGGGGGGTGGGGGTTATTAAATAGCACAAAGCAGGAGAGCAGATGTTCCACTGATTTCAGGACAAGTCGGTGGTGGGGGTGGTGCATACAGCATGTGCATCGGGTGGATTTCACACTGTGAAACGGCGGATGTGTCGGACTTGCCAAGCAGTTGATCTTGTCTTAACCTGCTTGTTGTTGTGTTGTGTCGAGACAACAGCAGCAGCGGAAGGAGATAGCCTCAATATAAATCTGGTGGTTCTTGCGTTCCTGAACTGGATACGACTGATGACGACAGTAAATGAAATACAAGACTAAAGTCACCTTTGGGTGTACGGATATGTATCTCTGCAAGCCTTCTTGTCAAGTGGACACTTTTTATGTATTTTATTAAAACAATGAATAGACAATAAAAGTCAAAGTACAACAGCAAATAATCCCAGACTGGAACAAATACCTGCTGCACGGTCACAGCCACTCATCCCCAGTAGAAATGCTACTTATAAATCATTATTTTTTGAATCATTATTTTTGGACTTCTGGACAATGTCATACGCAACCTGAAATGTGACTCTGTGATGTTATAAACACAAGATAACATCCCTATCAGAGAATTATGGTAAACAAAGCCCTCCACACTAACAGCATCTCCTCATATGCTGAATGCTTCAGAAACCCTCACATCAGCAATGAATGAATTTGAATATTTTACAATATGCAATATGTTCCATGTTTAACCACAGTATATCTTTGCTGGGTGACAAACATGTTTTTTTTTTTTTTTCTTGTTTTCCATAATTGCTTCTCCCTCCATCAGGAGTGTGTGACCATCTCATGCATGATGAGACAAACCAATAGCACGTAACAGATGTTAAAGTATTGATTTCAGGGCTCACAGATGCGTGGTGCATTACCTGTGAAATTCCTACTCTAGAAGTGAGAAGCAATGTTTGGAAAACCTCACAAAATCTCAGAGAAACTGCAAATGAGTTTTAGACCAATTAAGAGGCGAAGGTGTGAATATATCCGTGGCATGGATACGAATAGATTCAAATAAAGACAGAAAGCGGCATTTCTGGAGGAGCTGTGAAATAACCCACGTCTTTGTAAGAGAGTGCACATCTATGTATATACCTTTTAAAACCAACATCTAAAGTGATACATCTACAGAGAGAGAAAAGTGAATGCTATTTGGGAAATGAAATGACTTCCAGGTACATAGAGTAATACCTTCTACAAGAAAATGAGCCTATTCTGTAGAGTGATGACCTGCAGGATTTGAAAGTACAACTGTTTTGGTGGAAAGTAGTGATATCTCATTACACTTTTTAACTGCACATACTGGACAAACTCACTATATGTATTTTTGCAGTAATTGTGAAATGGCAAATTCACAGTATGTTGTATGGAGATGTCAAGGCTGCAACTTTATGATTATTTTAATTCACGATCAATCAATTATTTTATCACTATCCCTCTTATTTCATCAATATCACTATATTAGCTTTATTTTGAAAAATCAAGACCTTCAGTTTACTATCATATATAGCAAAGCAAATCATTAAATCCTCACACAGGAGAGACTGGTTCCATTTAATGTCTGGCAGTTTTACTTGATAAATGACTAAAAGGATAAATTGATAATCAAAATAGTTGCCAATTGCTTTTTTTTGTTGCTGCTCTAGTGATGGTTCTAAAATCTGGGTGCACTTTGTTTAAAAGTTAAAAATCATTGCTACCATTACTTAAGTTTAATTACAAATACTGAAAGAAGTGCAGTCCTGTTTGCTGCCTATTTCAAAATCATCTTCCTTTTTCTAATATGAACAGCATTACTGTGCTCCAAATCAACTCGAATCATAAAACCATAATGTTTTTGCTTTGTTTTGTTTTTAAAGAAATACCACACCATGGCATCTTTTTTACCAGCCATCAATGTGCTATTTGGTAGAACATTATTTTATCATTTTATACATATCTAATGAGTAGTTTTTAGAATCCAATGTCATTGTTTGCCCACTTCATCCAGTAAACTGTACATTCAAATATATCCCAAGGTAGTCCAGAATCTCTCACTTTATATAAACGCAACTGTACAACAGTCATAGTATTTCCTTCGTTGCTATTTTTAGACATTCATATTAAACTCCTTCCAGAAGGAGTGAGGAAGAGGGAGAGGCAATTTAATCAGATGGAGGTGTAGTGTCTCCCAAAGCTGGTGAGTCTAATCTTCTCAGGCAGGATGATGTTTACTGAGTGCTCAGGCTCTTCCTGGTTAGTGGTGCCAGCTTCTCTCAGCAGGTGTTCCCTTTGCTGCCGAACAAGCTGGCTGTACTTGGCATTAGCCAGCCACGTCTCACAGCGGCCAAAAAACACAATGCCTGTAGTGCCCAGGATGACCAGGCAGGTGAGCAGGGCCAGTATGCCGAAGCAGATGAGCTGACCCTGGGTGACAAGGACGCCAGGGGAGTGGACGGTCTCCTTCAGGGTGATCTTTAGCAGGTCTCTCTCAGGGGGTCTGAGGAGCTTGTGGAAGGCGTGAGCAGGGAGGGAGTAATGCTGCGGGGTCAGCGCGAACACTCGGTGGTCCACAGGTCTGGCACCGACCGGCTTGGATCTGGCCTTTGGTCTGTGCTGCAGGGAACATGTGGGACCTGTAAACCATTTCTGGCAAACGCACCGAAAGGTTCCATCAGGCTGACCAACACACGTGCTGCCGTTGGCGCAGGGCCGGCCTGCGCAGGGCGAGAGGCTGGTGGTGTCGTTACAAGTGAAACCAGTGAAGCCGTGCGGACAGGCACACGTGAAGGCCAGGCCGTGGTTTGAACAGTTGCCACCGTTGAGGCAGGGGTTAGGCTGGCAGCTGTCGATGCTGATCTCACAGAAGTCTCCAGAAAATCCGGGGGGACATAAACAGGAAGAGTAGGCTGCTGAGCCATCGGCGTCCGTACATGTGCCTCCATTCTGACAAGGAGAGCTGGAGGACAGAGCAGCACAGTGTGACAATACAGCAGAGAGAACAGGACCTGCTATCGTGTAAACAGTTTACTACAGAATATTTCACCCTGTGGTTAGAAAGCAGCCATCACATGGGCACATAATCCTATTTTTCAGGTAGATTTCAAAAAGTAAGGGGATGCTTTCTAAATCCATAATTTGTGGGGTCCCCTAGGAGAATGTCCTTGGGCCGTGATCACTAGGATCTGCCTGCTTACGCAGAAGATGCTTCATTCATAACATCACATTAAGATTAACAAACAGAGAATACCACCACTGTCCAGAGAAAACCATGTGCCTTTGATTTTTGGGATTTTTAATTTTATTAGAAAAAGCGTTTAAGGATTAAGTGTCCTTAATAAGTCGAGGAAATTACCCTAAAGCTAAATAAACCAGTTAAGAACCCACAGGATTGGAGGACTGCAATAAATGGCTGAGCAGCAGAACACTGCAACAAGGCTCTATGATAATAAACTTTACCTTCATTTAGGAAAAACTGAGGCTAATCTTTTTGGATCTGGAATCTAGCTAAGAAAATATGCAGAGTTTTTTTAGTTATGGTACGTCAGGCTGTAATTGCACCCAAAGTTAATTTTAATTATTTAGGTTTGTTTTTAGATATCAGCTCTCAGGGGAAGCCATGGCACTAAAAGCACTTCATTTGTCAGGACTACATTAAAGCTCAGGAAAGTAGTACTGTGAGATACTGCAAAATTAATCTGTGGTACCACAGTTCTCCAAAACCTAGCGAAAAACTCAGCAGTTAAATTAATAGTTATAATAGGACTTAGGATGTTAAGCTTAGGGAGCTATTCACTGAGTCTGGTCCATTTTCTGTAGCACAAGTGTCTTGTGTTTACCTTAAATTCACAAACAAGGACCACATTGGAAATAAATTTTTAGCTTCTGTGTGTCTTTAGACTTTTTAAATGTACTTCAGGACTTCGTGTTTGCAGTATCTCAAGTTGTTTCATCTTAGAAAATGTGATAAACAAGGCAATAATTTATTTATTGTATCGTGTAAAATCCTAATGAGATGATAAGATCCTGTAATAAAATTCAGTTTATGAAATTAATGATTTCAAGCAAACTTTGAAAACTAACTACATCAGACATTGGGGTTTTTGTGTCACATATGTCAAGAATATGAACATAAATAAGATGCATTATATTTTAAGTAGATTTGTCATACTGTGATATGTATTAATATTGGAATAATGTAAGACTCTCTTATAGCTTGTTTTTTTAAAAAAAACAGCAGCCCATCACCTAAAGATATTCAGTTTACTGTATCATGAGACAAAGAGAAGCAACACAACTGAGCAGCTGACACCAGAGAATGATTGTCATGTTTGCCTCATCGATTATCAAAATACTTGGCAGCAATCAATTAATCTGCTAATTTTTTCAGCTCCAGAAAAATTCGTATTAATATTCTGGTGTTGAATTTAGTCGTATCACCCACCACTAATGAAAAACAGTGCAGCTCATTTTCTGCAAATTAAAAACCTGTGCCAGTCATAAGATATGAAAGGAGTCTTCGCTTTGCCTCTGCAATAATCTTCCTGCACCCACACGTGCAGCATGTGATCAATGCAGCTGTGCCTCACCAAGTGAGTGCACCGATAAAAAGCCGGGGTAAAAACAATCAATATCTCTTATAGTAGCTCATGTAATTACACAAGTTCTTAGCTTTCTGTCTCTGCGAGTCAAAAGAATAATAGCTCCGGCATACTTTGTAGACATCTCCAGTGCCTCGTAGAAGAGCTGATTAATGAAACCTCATGCAGCCCTTTTTAATAGAGATGAATTCCCCTGACATACAAGTGAGGCTCCAGTCGTCTCATTGTGAAAATTATAATAAGACTCAAATCATTATTTTTCTTTTATGAGGGCGGAGAGCTGTCAGTTCACTGACAGTGAGCTGTGGACTATTGAATTTTAGGTGTGTCGTCCTAGTCCATAACAAGGCTGCCTGACAGAATAAACATGGTGGGGTTCAGAGTCTGGAGGGGGCTGTGTCAGCTCGCTGCGTCTCCAGAGACTCTTTCATATGCATCTGATGGGCAGGAGGAGGATTCCTACACGCATCAGTCCTGTCTGTCATCCAGCAGTGGGAAGACGGACAACAGATTTTTAGAGCTCAAAGGAATGAGCAGCTGTTTTTGTTATGAACATAAGGTCAATCTTGAATATTATCTAAAAGCAAAAATTCCAGATGCGGGCTTTTGTTTTGAAATTAAATTTTTTGAGTGGTGCTTCCAAAGCAGAGCATCCACTGTAATAGCTCTATTCAGAGGCTCTGTCACACTTCAGCTGTGTGCCAATTCTAGCGAGGTAGAGGACGCGACCCATGAAGGTGGATCCTTTTCAGAGGTTCTGAGGGCCTGACTGAACCTGCGCCTCACCTCTTCAAATGAGGACAAAGCTGCTGGCACGTTCAGGTGTTTCTCTTCAACTCATAAAGTCAAAACATTTCCACAAATTTGTCCTCCAGTGACTTCGATAGTGGTAAATGCCAACAGCAAATCTGGTAGAACTGAAGTTGCATGATTAAACACAGAGAATGAAGAAATTCCTCTTCTGATGCTGTGCTATAACATATCCAGGCTATTAGCACAAATTAACAGTGTTGTTTATACTTATTAGTATTAGTAGTTATTTTTTTTACAATAAGTGGTTCATTTCATGCAAAGTATTTGTCAGTGACTGATGAACGACCTGAAGGCAAATTCCTGTTAAATAGTATTTCCCAGTGATGTGAGATATGGGTTATGCAAAGTACACATCAGGTGTGTCCTCCAAAATACAGGAAAAAGATGGCTGAGTGTCTGGTCACATACTGTAGAGAGGAGCTGTTGAAAAATGACGGCCTTGCTGAGAGATTATGATGTATTCCATCCTGAAATGTTGACTTCAAAGGATGCAGTCCCTGAACTAGGAGGCATCTTATGATGCTGCCCAGGTACACACTGCCGGCTACTGTGTAAAGGTGTCTGCTCGTCAGCAACAAGGAGCACAACCCAGTCTCATGGCAGTTCATGAAACAGTCACAAAATTTAGTGTATCGATTCGTGTAAATGGACAGGTATTTTCCTTTTTAATAACGGTAAAAAATCGACTTGTAGTAACCACTTTAAATTAAGGTATCGATATGATGCCGGGGCTAAAGGGCTGCTGTTCTCTTTACAACATCACGACTTTACGGCTTTGATTCACTCTAACCACTCTCTTTTTATTGTTTTCAGCCACAGCAGGAAGCTGCTTTCTGAAAACCCACCTTACACTACCCGCTCGACAACCGATACTTCGGTACCAAGTCGATGCCAAAATCCTGAAAATGTGACAGTACTTGATTTTCTATTGTACCGTAGGTACCAAAGGTATTGTAGATGCCGTAGGTTCTAGAGATGTAATTCTTTCGGGACTGATGAGGGCAGTATAATAACATCACAAGTGTCCTAGTCTGACATCAAACTTGAACAGAAGAAGACAGGCACAATAACAACAACAGCAGCAAATGCGTGTGCAGCCGCAGGTCCACCATGACTTATGGAAAACACGCCAAGACAGTTGTATGGAGATATTTTGCAGTTATAAGTTATAGATGACCAGAAGCCAGTCTGTAAACTGTGCCGCAGAGAATTCCAAAAGAAACACCTTAAACTTATCTAAGCAGCTCAAAGACAGACATTGTTAACTTAAAATGAACAACATGGCATCAAAATGTTCATGTCCTGAAATGTCACTGTTACTGTTTGTGAATTGTGGCATCTGCTGTAGTAACGCTCCACACACAACGTTCACAAAAGGTTCACAACATTAGTAGGTGGCCGTCATTATACTTTTCAGTCTGTCAAAATATAACGGCGACTTTTTTAATGAATATTTTTACATCATTGGTCCTTTCACCTTGTTAGTCAATTTAAACTACTGCCTGCACACTGACTACGTATATGGATGTGTGTGCCTGTGTGTGTTTGTGTGTTAGCTGAGTGCAGCAGTCTGGTAGTCTTTGGTAGTGAGAATTGTGGAATTCCAACGGTATTGGTGACGACTACCAATATTCTGGTACCGTGACATCCCTGCTGCTTCAGCTCCAAGCAGCAGATCGACACATGTAATGACTAGCTGGTGAACACAGTGGAGCACTGAGCAGCTAGAGAGCCAGAAATTTCCCTCCGGAGTTGGATGGGCTTAAGAGAGAGAATACTGGCTTTACATTTGCGAGGTGAAACAAAACACTACTCCAAATGAATGCTAATGTTGCTCCATGTTGCTGATGTATAAATGAGCAACCGTTTGCTAACATGTTGGCCCTATCAACTTAGAAGGTGATGATATGTCAATGTTGTTCCCTCAATATGTTTCTGCTGCTCCCAAGCGGCCATTGAAAATCAGTAACTGCAGCTTTAATTCTGTGCACCATTGGTTCCAAGTTGCATCAGTTGCTTGGACCTGATCTACCCACTTGCATGTAAAATTTTTTTGTTGCCGCTGTTCACTATATGCACCATGTTCTTCTTTTCCCTTCATGGCACGTCAATCCTCAGAAAATAGAAGTTGACTTTCTCACTCGGAATAATGAGCTGGAGTTCCCTTCAAGTGGAGTTTTTCTGCACAGACTTGGAAACTTGCCAATTCCAACTTTTTTAGCATGCTCGTGTTTGCGGGGGTGGTGGGGGTGGGGGTGACTATATGAAAGCAACCGTTTCTGTTTGTCTTAAGAATGCATATACGCCATATTGCCTGTTACTAGTCACAACAACCAAACTCATACTCATTTTTTTCTCATCAAGGGCGGCAAAATGAACAACTGATATTCTCTCTTCTAACTGCCTATTACCAGTGATATACACTTCGATTGGCTGCCTTGGCGACACAGAGAAAGCTCACAGACATTGCACCACATCGCATTGCATGTATTGATTATTGCTCCTAATGATAAACAAATGAAGACGAGGCTGTAAAACACTGGAGTTTTCCTTTGCTTGAAATAGAAAGGCCAATTAAAGATGCTGGTACCCATTTGTGAAGCAAGCTCCTCTCTTCAGGTGGCAGTTTTCTCCAGCGTATCCGCGGGGACAGATGCACAGGTATCCCCCCTCTCCTGTCTCTATGCAGGTGGCATTACCAGCACAGGGCCTGGATGAGCACAGGCGAGTGTCTGTTGTAAAAAAAAAAAAAAGCATAGCATGCTGTTTTTAGCTCTCTCTCGCTGTGTTTCTGTGTCTCTCTGCCTGGTTTTCCCTCTCTCCTTTGTTTCCACTTTCTCACTCACACTCCCCACCGCAGCATCTTGTCACCAAGAGCAAAACTGAGAACATAACTAACCATGTTACACAGGGCGAGCAGCTCATATGCTCCAACACAATAAGAGATGTACTGTGAGAGCTGATAAGGAGGTCAAACTGAGCCAGGAGCCAAAAAAAATCTTTTTCTTCTTTTAATCTTCTCTCTTTCTTTCTTCCTTAGCTTGAGGGGGCACGAGTAATTTTCATGCGATAATGTTCATTGAGGATATTGGAGAAATTATTACATAAGTGCTTAATTTAAATATTTGCATCCACTGAAATGGAAATGTGACTTTTAGGAAGATTTAACGTTTGGATTTTCACAACCACAGCACAATACTTTTTTCAGGTTTTCTTAAGTTTATCATATGTGCCTTGCTTGATGGCACAAAACAGAAGGCGGCGGTTTATGATGAAAATTTTTGCAGTCATTTCGTGGCTTCAGTTTTCATCTCAGACCCAGATTTCTCCGTCATTATTTTCTTTACCTTACTCAGAACTTATCTAACTTTACCCGTATAAAAATAGAGTTAACTATATTCTCTAGACTCCGGCTTCGTTTGGTGGCAACCTTCATGTCCCTGAGGCTCCGTGACTCACCCTCACCTCTGGTATGTCAGAAAGTGTTAAGAGGCAGATAGAGATAGTGAGTGTCTGGGGAGCTTTATGAGACTCACCTTGGTCACACAGGCTGCCCACCCAGCCCTCCTCGCAGATACACTGCCATGCCTTCTCGCATGTGCCGTGCAGGCAGCCGGGGAAGGGCAGACACTGGTCACAGTTGTCTCCCTGCCACCCTGGTTTGCACCTGAATGAGGGGAAAAGGCAACAATCCAGACCTATTTATACACCACCCACAGAGCTTTGCAGCCAGGCGCCAGTCCACACAATGTCTGCAGGATTTACTCTCTATGTGTAAGTGAAATGACAGGTTGACGTTATCTTTGATTATACAGTAATTGGTTAAATTCTCCAGCATTTTGGCTCAGGAGTACATACAACAGCCTTTGCCAGAAAATCCCTTCACACTGAGCAGGGTTTGTCACCAAAAGCTTTTTGAGCTATCTGTTAGGATAACAGTGCTCTTTACTGTTCAAACAAAAGGCTGATTTGGCACTTAACACAATACAAGCGCCTAACAAATCTAGAAAAAAACAGAAGGATCCAGCTGGCTGGATTGTGATTGCATTTCTCCGAGGGAGGAAAATTTACAGCTCCAGCAATTTTTGAAAATAAGCTTGCTAAAGCCCACAGGATGTGGTCTATCATCCACACAGGAATCAGAGGTGGTGGTGCTTAGTACCTGCACTTCCCTGGCTTCTCACAAAACCCATTTTCTGTGTTGCACCCTGCGCTGCATTCCCAACCTTTGAGACAGAAAGAAAGGGACAGCAGCGTGTTTGCATCAAAAATCAAAAAGACACATAAAACATTCAGAGCAATGAAATATTCATCCACGATACTTTCTTTCCACGCAGAGAGCAAATCGGCTCAGATAAGAAGAAAAAGAGTTTGCTTTTCAGCTGACTCAAATCTCTTTGTCTCAGTGGACTGGTCAAAATCTCAGATTACCTTTGGCGATGCCTGTCACGACCAGAACAGAGACCACCGCTGTGAGATGCATCGTAATTTCGAGCTTGACCCTCTTTGTCCTGCAAAACATAAAGCGAGTTAAGTCGCAGAAAAGAGCTCTTCGTTTGCGAGGAAGCGACGTTTTTTTTCATCTTAACAGAGATAACACAACTCAAAAGTTCATTTTTCGGAAACATTACAACCTTTAAAAGGAGAACTGAGAGAGATGCTCCACAGATATGGCAAATTTTGCTTAGAGCTCTGGGATATAATGATCGTAGGAGATTTATAACGATCAGGTCCTCAGAGTGAAAATCACATATACACACACACACACACACACACACACTGTAAGCCTAAAATATTACTGAAATATATAGTGCTTTTTCTTTTCTTGGGCAATTGAATCTTACAGGCGCACCTGAACCATATGCGTCTGCTCCCAAAGGTTTCCATTACGCACGAACATAGAGGAAAAGAGAAAAGGAATTTCATTCCAAAAGCAACACATTTGTCTAATCAAAAGGCTCATCAACTTAAATTATCTCGTGGCATGCTGAAAATCGTCTTACCTATGTCGCACCGGCGCTCTGTTTCCAGGTGGCTTTGGTCATATTTGATGGATTTTGATTTGACCTTCTTTTTTTTTTTCTTTCTTTCTTTTTTCTTTAAATCCAAGCGACTGTGCGGTTGAAAGTGACACTACAGGTGTTCTAGTGGTCCGGCTGCTGCTGGTGGACCTGCAGGTTTTGACGGGACTGCTGGATCGTGCGGCGTCCCAGCGTAACACGCTCCTCCCACCTAAAGAGGGAGAATGTGTGTCTGACCCCCAGGAGAGAAGTGCTGTAGTTGTACCATAGCCTACGTAAGGTGCCTGTATTTTACAAATGCATTACTCAATGCAATTGGAAAAGTCTTCCAGGGAAGTAGGAAGGTCTCTGTAGGCTATTAACACTTCCAAGAGCTTGTTTCTGCTTAGTTAGTATTTTTACTCTTAATTCTTCATTTAAGCACAACCCAATTAGCATGTGCTAGTCTTAGTTTCTGTCAGTGTATTCAGATCCTTTATTTAACACTACAGCAATGGACAAATACCCGATTGCAAGTGAAAATCTTGCACTCAAAATCTTATTTTAGTACAGACACATTATCAGCTAAATGCACTAAAGTAAAAGTACTCAGAATTCATCGGAATTGGTCCGTTCAGCATTACATATTATTAATTACTGTTACTATAAATACTTATGAAAAAAAACAAGAAGCATTTTACTGTGGTTGCTGTTATAGGTGGGCTGCCGGGTAGTTTAATCTGTATCACTTCATCTCATCCAGTGAGATGATCGTATTTTCTGTAAACTATAAACTATTGATTTCAGATGAATATAAAAGTCCAATATTTGCCTGTGAAATATTGTGAATGTGAAGTACAGTTACTTGTGGAAATGTACTTATTAATCGCTGCTGACCATCACCCTCACCACTCTCACAAAATACTTAAAGAATACTAATTGACAAGCTAGACTTCACAGAGGAATTCAAACTCTGTCCCTCCTCCAATTTTAAAATATTGAATGACTTCCCTTACACACTGCCTATCTGTCATACATAATATTTCTCTATTCTATTCTTAGTCCACTTATCACTGTCCACAATCTCCCTTTATCCTTCCCAAGGGCAGGGGATGGTATTTTTCTTCCCACGAAGCATATGGCTTAGTCTAAGAGTCTAATTATGAGTTTCACTTCTCTCAGACATTATTAGATCCGCAATAAAGATCCTGAAAATGGTGCCCAAGCAACCATCAGGGGAAATCTGCTCCTCGGTCTCACTAATCCTCCTCAGTGTTCAATTGTAAGATGCAGCCTGTGTCTCAGCCAGGCTCTGCGGTTTTAGTGAGCGAAAACCAGGGTGAATATGTTTCCTACGGTAAATGACAGCACTGAGAAACACTTATAATTCCAGACATTGTGAGCTTTGTGGCTCTACTTACAGATTTTTTTTTTTTTACAAATATATCATCTTGAGGAGACGTGTGGGTTTGCGGTCTAGACAGCGAGAGCACAAGGGATACATGTATAAATGCAAATATGCATTAAATCAATGTTTTTTTTTTTCAGCTGAGTCGGGGTAAAGACGGTACAAAGAAGCTCCCATCTCACACAGAATCAGTCTGAAACGAGGACACATGCTATAAACAGACAGGCCCAGGCAGATGTGAGTGGAGTAGAAATGGATAAGTCCCTGTGATATAATCTTTTGACAGGTCTCCTGTCTCATATCCACTGGTTCAGTTTTTGCGCGTGTGTTTATTTTCAAACCTCCAGAGACGGAGCTCGTAGTCCGGGCGTAGCATTACAGCAGTGATGTGATTCTCTCAGATCCACATCAGTCAGCCCTTTTTAATGAAATGTCTCAGGTTTGTGTGTGCTTGAAGATTAAAGTGAAGGAGTCATCCATCGATATTTTTTTTTTTTTTTTCCCCCAGCACTCATCTCATCTCACCTCGTATCTGATCTTTTATCTGCTCCAGTCCAGCTCCAGGTTTAAACTGTATATTGTAACATATTGTATATTTTGGTCTGAATGTGACTGTAAGGGTTAGGGTTAGGAAAGGATTAATCAGCTCTTCGTGAGTCATAAATTAATCATCAGCCAGTGAAGTGAGTGAAGCTGAAGGGAGCGTCAAGGAAGCAACAAAGTCATTAGGATTCAGCCTCTGTGTTCATAGCAATCCATCCAATATTATTGCATTATTTCAATCTGGACCAAAGAGGTGAACTGACCAATCAACAGTGCTGTACCTAGAGTCACACGGCTATGACAGTAACCTTAGTATGTTTGGGTTTTGAACTGTTATCTGAACATGAGAGTTTTTCACTATTTTCTGACATTTTATCCAGCAAACACTCAGTGAATTAATCAAGAAAATAATCAGTGGATTGATCAATAATGCAAATAATAACAAGTTGCAGCTCTGGTCTGTGTGTGTGTGTGTTTATGTGACAGGTAAAGGTTAAATCTCGCTGCAGTCTGACCTCATTTCAAGTAATTATGCATCCGCAGGGAATATGCATTTCACCCAATCTCAATAATACAGGAGTCTTATTTCTAATCACCATGAAGATTAGTCCCACACTGAGCAAGTTCCCTCTCCGCATACGTGAGGAAAAATGCTATGCCACAGAGGCACCATTAGATCTGCATATTACCAGTGTAGATTATTTCATTGTAAGTCCTCTAGAGGCTGGAAATTATTTCACCTGAATTCTCAGTGTGCAGATTCAAAATGTGGAAAAAGTCTATCAGCACAGTCTCTGATTAAAGAAATCCCTATTCTGTCGATATGTGCCAGCCATGCTGTGGGTTTAGATACAGATCATTTCATTCAAACTCTCAGATGGCACACAGTGGCTTGCAGGAAATGAGTCTTGAGTATTGAATTCTAAACACAATTAGCAGGATAACAACGCGTGATGCGGCTGCCCAGTTCCTCCCCGTCCGGCGGCTTTCGGGCTGATCATTAGACAGGATGGCTCATTAGACAGGATGGATCATTAGACAGGAGATCATGCCAGGAGGAGCGCAGTGGGGTTCACTTATACAGGCATGATATACAACAGTTCATCTGCCTCATCTCTTTTTTTTTTTAAGTCTATACATTTTTTGCCCATAACTAATTTCATTGCAATATTAGGACTGTTACCCTGTTTTCCCTTTTTCATCTATTGCCAGTGTTAATTACCCTGCAATTTACAGCCAATGATTAGTCATTTAATCATTTAGTTAGTACTCATTTAAAAAAGTACTTAAAGTGTGATTTATTTCCAAGTCTCTCTTCAGCACAGATGTTGCCTCCTCATCTTTTATATTTGTCCTGGTATATCCTGTTGCCCAGTAAGTACTTTCATTGATACCTCATATGTACTAAATAATTAAACTGCCATTTGGATCAATCTAAAGCATTAGCAAACATCTACCTGTATCATACTACTACAATGGAGACCACCTCGTGCAGAAGAGCTAGACATAAATAGTACGAAGGACTTGAAACTACCGTGCTGCTGAATCACAGAGGGGCATGTAACACCTCGTCAGTTCAAAGGACTCAGAATCACACACTGAAATCTTCCACAGTTGATCGACAGGGGCGATTTTTTTCAGCCAGTTTGGTCCAGGACGGCATCATTTACGCCAGCTCTCGCTCCTCCCATCTGTGTGGGAGACAGGCAGAGAGGGAGGGATGCGTGTGTCGGCTAATTCCATTTTCTGGCTTTTCGACTTCCAAGTACATGCCGTAATTAGTCACAAAGGAGAAACCTGCCGCTGACTTCGGGGATGAGTGGCTTATTTAATTGCACGGCTAGGTGAAAGGTGAAAGATAAAATGGCGCTGTCACTTTCTCAGCGATTTGGCTCCTCATTTCTTTCCTTTCTGCACTCTGAGCCCCATTACATTAACTTCAACAGCTGGGATACCTATGATTGCCAGACAGGGTGCAGGAGTCATTGTGTCTCCTTCAATGAGGCCCTTAGGTAGTTCTGGTACATCACTCATGAGTACAAAACACCCTCAGCTCTGGAGGAAAGGTGCTTTTAGCACCAAATACCAATGACAGCATACACACCACAGTCCATGTGCTCTTGGACAATACATCAGTCTCTTTATTCTCAGCATGCTGAGGAGAGAAAAAATACTTTCTCTTTTTAGCCTGAGTACCCCTGCAGAAATCTGGGAGAGCACATTTCTCTCTTTCAAATATACCAATTATATGGAAGGTGGAGTAGAGACGATCTGTTTCCCGCTGACTGGCTGAATACCATGCATTTTCCTGGCACTATCCTAAGGGCTAACTGCTCTTGCCTCGGCCTCCGGGGTGCTGGCAGAACTTCAAGCACCTTCAGAGCCGGCTTTCATGCTTGTGTAAAATCTGCTCCAGAATATCCTCGAATAAGAAAAAGGTGAGAGAAACCTTGGAGGGCAAAGTATTAGCGTCAGCGCTGGCCTCATTTCCAGTTCTTGCATGTACCAGCAATTAAAAAGTAAAATGATGGCAAACTGATGGTGTTGATGGTATTGGAAAATTAGGAGGCCCATCAACCCATTGAAGGTAATGAGCTATTTAATTGTTATATATGGATCTCAGGGGTCATAGAGGATGATGAATTTCATATCAGATGTCATTTCCCTTACCTTCTCTCTTGTCAGCAGGTCATACAGACTGCCTTGTTAATGGTGAGAGTCGCTTCTTTTTACCTGAGTGTACTTCAGGTTGTACATCCCTCTTCTATTCCTGCAGGACATGTTGAACCTGGCTCATGCCACTGTCTTGCACTGGTGTTACATCAACTCAGAACTTTATTCTGTGCCGAAAACAGTGTGATTAGTCTTTCTAAAAAAAGGAAGTGTTTTTTATGTCCTTCTTTATAAGCCTTCCTCGGAACAAGCTGCTTCTCCAGCTCCAAACTCTGGAAACCAAACTATCTTTGATTTTCTGCCGCAACACTTCCCCTTAAACTCCACACATTTATACCCAAAAAGCACACTCACACTTCAAATACAAGCAGACGGTTCACGGGCTGTTGAGCATCCTTAGTAAATAAGAGTGCTCCATTGATTGGTGGTGTGTCACTTAATATATTCTGTTGAGAGTAAACATATCGACATGATGTGTCTAATGTCAGAGTTGCAGACAACACTGTTGTACTTGGCAA